ACACCAGCACTGTGCCTCCCACAGGTACTGCGAAGGAAGCCTTGGGTGATGCCAAGATAGGTTTGCATCCCTGAGAGGCACCACCTGTCCCTCAGCCCTGAAGGAGGCTGCTGCTAGCTGGCCTCTCCTGCTGTCTCCTGTAGGTATGTATTTACTCCAGAAACATCAACCCCCAGTGCCTGTCAGCACAGCACTGAATGTGACTTCTGCTGTCCAGAACAAAGAGCCTCCTCACTGACCTCACTGACATGGTGGAGTGCACTTTGTTCACACCTTGCCAGGGTCTCAAGAGCACAAAGGTGGAGTAGACACAGACCCCAGTCCCGTGCACCCCGCTCACACCTTGCCAGGATCTCAAGAGGACCAAGGGCACCGATGGAGCTCCTGGGTCTGCAAGCTCCAGAATATGCCCGTTAAGCACCCGTGATGCCAGAGGCAGTGCGCGTACAGGATCAGGTGTTGACCCTCACGTGGCTCCGCCAGTCCCTTGCTTTCTTTGCAGGATTAACCATCCTCCTAATGTCATGCCTGCAGCCTGGGGGTTTCTCCCTAGCTAGGGGTGTCTCCCTCTGTGGGGGCTTCTCAGATGGGGATTCCTCTGCCAAACGCAATGGACAAAGAAGAACTAAAAACCACATCATAGACCGAAGTCTGCACTTTACATTTTTATAAAAAGCCTGAAGCTGTCCCAGAACCCCCCCCCCCCCCCACTGACTGAGCACTGACTGCTGCAGCCAGGCGTCCCCCAGCCTCTTGTGGGACATCAACAGAAAGACTCCTGTAGAATTTTGGACTTTCCATCACATGTGGGGGTTTTCGTGATAGTCCACACCTGCAGGTGGTCTGGAAGTGCTAAACTTAGAAGAGGTGACCAGGGTGAGCCGCATCCGCACGGGGGCCTAGTGCTTGGGAAGGACGATGCCTCGGGTCTTCAGAGGCCCCAGCACGTGGCCTGCATCCATGACCTTCAATGTGTTTACCCCGAAGGGGTTGCCTAGAGCTTGGGGGCCTGCCCAGGACAGCTACTCCCCCCGCCCCCTGAGGTGCAGAGAGCAAAGGAGAAGGTGGCCTGGGTCAGGGCTAGAAGGGACTCTGACAGTTATAATCAAACGGATGGAAAGTACCAAACGGTCCTCAGCAGAGGTGGGTTGAAGCCAGGTGCTGGGGACGCAGATTGGGGTGGAGACCTGCTGGTGGCGGGGAGGGGGGGGGGCGGGGGCTGTGACAGTAGGCTGGCCAGGTTTGTATGCCCACCGTTCTTTGAATCCCACCTACGGCATTGTGTTATTTTTAGGTTAAAATTGGTAATGTCATAGAAAACATTCCCAATACCAACAAAAATATCAAATAGCCAGAAAAAAGATAAAAGAACTCTGTACTTCTCACAACTGGGGGATTTCTTGTTTGTTTTTTGTTGCTGTTATTTGATTGTTGTTTTTTTTGGGGGGGTCCTCATATAGCCTAGGTTGGCCTGGAAATCACTAAGTAGCCAAGGACTACAGGCATGAACCTGGTTTGTGCAGTGCTGGCTGCCTGCTGGACCAGGAAGACCCCAGCTGAGCCCCCAGCTGGGCTCTTGCAGCATTTTTTTTTTTGCACCCACGAGAGCGGGGGGGGGGGGGGGGGGGGGGGGGGAGGATACAAGGTTTTTCTGTGCAGTTTTGGGGCCTGTTCTGGAACTCTTTCTGTGGACCAGGCTGGCCTCAAACTCACAGAGATCTTCCTGCCTCTGCCTCCTGAGTGCTATAAGGGCCTGTACTACCACAGCTGGATTCCACTACAGCTGGCTGATCCCCATTCTTGTTTCCAATGGAATCCCACTGTGTGAACCAGATTGGCCTTGACTCCTGGGCCCCAATTTGTATTTTCACAAAAGAAGAAAGGAAAGGAAAGGTAAGCCGAAAGGTAAGCCGCTGTCTGGATTTAGCATCTAAATTTAGGATTTTTGTTTTCTATTTTGTGTAATAGTCCTTGCTGTCCTGGCCTCAAATTGCACAGAGAACTGCCTGCCACTGCCTCCCGAGTGCTGGGATTAAAGGTGTGTGCCACTAGTGCCTGGCTAGACTCAGATATTTTTTAACCTAGAATTATAAAAGAGTTGCAATCCAATTAACACGGAACTCTGGCCCTCTGCAGGAGCAGTAAGTGCTTTTAACCACTGAGCCATGTCTCCAGCCTAAACACAGAATTTTTAAAAAAAAATTGAGCACGCACGCGCGCTCACGCACACGTGTGTGTGTGTGTGTGTGTGTGTGTGTGTGTGTGTGTGTGTTTGGAGGTCTGAGGACAAGACTGTGAATTGGTTTCTTCCTCCCACCATGTGGAGGACTGAACTCCAAACCCAGGTCCTTAGGCTCAGCGGCAAGCACCTTTCCCCACTGAGCCATCTTGCTGGCCCTTTTGTTTGTTGGTTTGTTTTTCTTTGTCAGAACTTGACTTGTACAAACACCATGCCAGGCATGTGAATGAATACACACAAATATAATAACTTTAAAAAGAGCAATAGGTCTGTCTTAATGCAAGCTATTTTTACATAAACTATCACAAAACACTAAAATGCACTAATGATATTGGGAGGGATGGTTTCTGCCTGTACTTGCCATCACTACCCAGCAGGCAGAGGCAGGAAGATTGCTTTGAGCTTGAGGTCAGCCTAGCCTACACAGTAAATTACAGGACATCCTGGGCTACAAAATGAGACGAGACCCAGTCTTAAAAACAAACAAGGCTGGGCGTGGCAGCGCATACCTTTAATTCCAGCAAATTCCAATTTGGGATGCAAAGGCAGGCAGATCTCTGTGAGTCCAGGACAGCCTGATCTACAAAATGAGACCGGACTCAAAAAATAAAAAAGCATTAATAAGATGAATAAAATATTTCTAACATTTACATGAGAATATCTTAGTATCTTTAACAAAAAGAACCTTCAACTCAGTAAGAAAAAAGCAATGAAGGGAGCTGGCCAACCTCTTTGCAGGGTCTTTAAAAAAATACCCAAATTCCCAGCGGTGGTGGCACACACCTTTAATCCCAGCACTTGGGACGCAGAGGCAGGCAGATCTCTGTGAGTTCGAGGCCAGCCTGGTCTACAGAGCAATTTCCAGGAAAGCTAGGACTGTTACACAGAGAAACCCTGTCTCAAAAAAATAAAAACAGAAACAGAAAATCCAAATCCCAGCAGAACCAGAGGCAGGCAGAGTGCGAGGCCAGCCTCCTATTGTCTCAAAAACAAAACAAACAAAAAACCCAAATGTTAAAAACAGTGAAACAGAAGTCTGGTTATGCAGCTCAGTTGGTGGGGATTCGCTGCTTACACACAGCACAAAGGCCTGGTTCAATCCGCAGCGCCACACCCCTGGGTGCCGAGGCCAAACCGGTAATCTCAGCACTGAGGAGGTGGGGGAAGGAAGAGGAGAAATCTAGCTCGACCTGATTAGTAGTGAATTCCTGACCAGCCTGAGACGTAGGAGACCCTAACAAGAAAGAGATAAAAAGAGAAAAGGTAGATCAGGAAGGGCCAGGGCAGACTGTAACAGGTTTATTCCAGAGTCTGCAGCTGTAGTATGGTGACTGCGCTGGCTCCTCTCTTGAAGACTGATCTGTAGAAATGTGTAGCTTGTGCCAAATATCAAAACAGATGCTTCTCCTGTCTCATACAGTGTTCGTCAGTGTGCAGGGAGCTTAGGTGGCAGGTTGTGGGGGCCGAGGTGTCATTTAGCAAGCTGGGCAAATGTGGTGTCTCAGGGCCCCTATTCCTTAGCACTGAAATGTAGACAAGGGACCAGGCTGCCTCCTGTAATCTGCCTTTTCTTCCTTCCTTCCTTCCTTTCGTTTTTTTTTTTTGAGACAGGATTTCTCTGTATAGTTTTGGAGCCTGTCCTGGAACTTGCCCTGTAGATTAGGCTGGCCTCAAACTCGCAGAGACCTGCCTGCCTCTGCCTCCCGAGTGTTGGGATTAAAGGCATGTGCCATCACTGCCTCACTAAACACAATTTCTCATCAATTCTCCGTGACACGGGACTGGCCACAGTGACGCTGGCCTGGATCACTGGGCTGAGGTGAACAGTCAGGTGTCTCTCGGGGAAGTGACCTCCATCCTGAACCTTATATAAGTCACTAGCCTTGCCCATGGAAGCCTGGAGTCAGGAACCGTCTCCCCACAAGTTTTCTCTCCATTATAGCCCCTATGGTATCCTGGAAGGGACTGGGGTCCATGAATGAATTCACGCTTTAGGCCAGGTAGAGAGGAAAATTCATGAAGCACCCTGCCAGAGGTTGGCAGGTGCTTCACTCACAGGGACAGTCACAACATCACCCCGCATGGTCCTCTAAGTCCTACTGAGCTTGTCTCAACCCAAGGCTCTCTTCCTTCCCCTCCCCCACTCAGAAACCCTGGGTCGTCCCTACTCCCACCAAATCTTCTTTGCTCCACCCATCTCCCTCATACAATCAGTAGCCCTATCTCCCAGCTCCCTAACCTCAATGTGTGTGTGAAACCTAGAACCTCCCTTCCCCCACCCCCATCTCTTTCAGCCCCAGCTGTCCTCCTACACTATTCTATAACCCCTCCTCTGAACATGCCCCCCTCCCCCATTCCTACCATGAACCCCCTCCCACTCACAAGGTTCCCTAAACCCCTTAAGCCCCACCCCCACCCACCCCACCCCCACACCTTCCCTGAATCCCCCCCACACACACTTGCAGGGCTCCTTAAGCCCCGCCCCTGAGTGCCTGCCCCCACACCCTCAACCCCACCGTCCTCGGCCTTTAATAGGCTCCTTCCAGCACTCTGCTCTTATCCCTGTTTGCCTTAAGGTCCCTTTCCCGTCTTTTCCTCCCCATAATTCCCCACTAGGCCCCAAGGGACCCACCGGTGCACTTTACACCCCCCTCCACCGTCTCTCGTCACATTGCAGCGTTCTGAAGACCCTGCTGACACCTCCCGAGATCTCAAGCCACCCGCCATCCTTGGACCCAGATCCTTCTAGCAAACAACACCCATGGGTTCCCGGAAAAATTCTTGCTCCAAGACAGGTGAAACATGGGACCTGGAGACTCTGGACAGCTCTAGCCCGGACTCTGCCAATCACCTGGAAGAGCAATGGCTGAAATCCAGTACGTTCCTCAGGCCTTTTTCTTCCTTTCCCTCTGCCCCTCCTCTCTTTCCCTTCCCTCCTGGTCCTTAGCAGAGGGTCTGGACTGTCAGAAGAAGGTGGGTCCTAGAGGGGTTTAGCAGGTACAGAGGGAGGCAGGGCCATATGGGTGCTGGGAAATGGCCTACCCGAAAACACATGGTGGCTGGGAGTGGAGGGGTGAAGAATATCTCACAGGGCCCAGCCTCTCCTATCAAGTACTTTGAAGCTGATGTTGCAGTTTTTCTTGTCCCTAATTCCCAGATGGGTGGGTGAATGTCACTATGACTTGGCTGGGCAGTGGAGTGGGTTCCCTGACCCCTGCATTGACTACAGGTAGTTGACTGTTTTCCTGCATACATTTTGTGTCCCTGTGAGGGCTCCCAGTGATGATGTCTTCTCTGTCTCCAGCCCGTAGCCTCAGTGACGATGAGCACAGCGTGGAGGTCGTACTGGAAGATTCCCGGGAGCTGCTGTCCTTAACCTCACCCCCGCCAGGCAGAGGTAAGTCCCCACCCAAGTAATAAACTTATCTCATGGATGAGGACCTCCGAGTCAGGCAATGCGTGGAATGTTCCTGTATCATTCAGGATGCCCCAAGCCCAGACAAGGAAGGGCAAGCGTTTGGTGGGTGTCAGTGAAGGGATTCCTTGTGTCCCAGACACCTCAGAAGAGAAGTTTACCAAGCATGTTCCAATGAGGAGCCAGAGGAAAGAGGCTACTTATTTTTCTCTTTCAGAGATTATCAGGTATGAAGTCACTGTGAACCAACGGAACATCGAAGGTGAGTTTGCACGCTTGCCTGTGATCCAGCAAAACAAAGTGTCAGCCCTGCCAGAAAGGCTTGCTTCAGCCTCACTCAGCCATCCCAGAAGGTGGGGAACAATCCTGGTGCCCACAGGATGTTCTCTCTCCATCCCCCTTACCAGACTTGTTTAAGGCACGCGGTTGAAGATTTTTGTGTATCTGGGCTGGGCATCATGGCCCACACCGTTAATCTCAGCACTCGGGAGGCAGAGGCAGGAGGATCTCTGAGGTTGAAGCTGGCCTGATCTACAGAGCAAGTTCCTGGACAGCCAGGGCTACACAGAGAAACCCTGTCTCGAGCTCTCCCCCCAACAAAAATGTGTGTGTGTCTATCACCCGACTCTACAGTCTAATTTGAGATTATGCTGAGTTTCAGTAGTCACTCATCTTGGAGGAAGCCCTGGGTTCCATCAGAACCCTATAAACTGGGTGTGTCGCCACACCCAGTAGCCCAACATTCAGGAGATAGGTAGGAGAACCAGATGTTCAAGGTCATAGTGAAGTTGAAGCCAGCTTGAGATGTGTGTGACCCTGTCCGAAAGAGGAGGGAAAAGGAAAATTAAAATTTGCATCTGGGGCTCAGTGGCTAAGAGCACTGGCTGCTCTTCTAGAGTTCTTGAGTTCCCAGCACTTCCATGGTGGTTGACAACCATCTATAGTGGGAACTGATGCCCTCTCCTGGTACAAAGGTGGTGTACATGCAGGAAGAGTATGCGTATATATTGAAAGAAATAGGTCTTTTTTTAAAATGTGTATCTGCTAGGAACTCCAAGCTCCTCAGTCAATGATCTATTTCTCTGGATTGGCCAAGATGTGAATGCTTGGGTTTCCATGGGAGTTTTAGTATCAACATGTCACGTCTACAGAAAGTCATCTGGGGTCTGGAGATGTCTGCCCTTCATTTGGGATGTCTTCTGATCTATTACCCTGATGTGTGTTCTTGGGTCTTCCCTGGTCTCTCTCATTTTGTTACATCTTCTCCCCGATTTTCCTTCTCCATTGTCTCTAGACATCTGCCTCTGTTGTGGAAGTCTCCAGGTGTATACGCAGCACCCCTTATTTGAGGGGGGGATGTGTGCCCCATGTAAGGTAAGCAGGGAGGCGGTGGGACTTCGTTGGCACTGTTGGAGGAGATTGCACAATAACCTTTGCCCCTTGCTCAGGACATATTCCTGGAGACCATCTTCCTTTACGATATGGATGGGCACCAGAGTTACTGCTCCATATGCTGCTTCGGGAAAACCCTGTTTATCTGTGAGAGCCCCGACTGTACCAGGTGCGGCAGGGCCCAACTCCCCATTCTCATCCCTGAAGAACCCCTCCCAATGTGAGAAACAGGAGCTGAAAATGGTGCATCTGTGATGTCTCTCTTCAGGAGCACAGCCACCACATGGCCACCCCCTCTGTCCTTAGGAAATAGAAGGAAGGGCACTTGTACTCTGCCCAGGGTCTGTGGGTCACGAGTCCTGAGCAGGATTGTTCAGGGCATAGGCAGTACTTTTTACCTTCAGTTAAATCCCCATCCTGAGCTCCATCCATGCCGGTCCCTAACCTGTCCTGGACATCTTCCTTTTTACATCCCTGACTTCAAGTCTCCCCTTCCCTGCTGCTCCTGTATATGTTTTTTCCCAGAACTTTGAAGATGCAGGTCGAGGTTTCCGAGTTGTGGGAAGGCTTAAGGGAGTGAGGGCCACCATTTTGGGTACTCCCACGGCACTTCTCTTATTGTTGAATCCCCTTCCCAGCCTGCAGCCAGCCCCATCCCCCCCAGCACTGAGAGCAAAGCCAGCCCCTCCTCTGAAGAGCCCGGAGAGAAACAGATGGTTCCCTCTGGTCTGCCTTGCTGTCCCCTGATGGCAGTATGATGTGGCTCACCATGGTTTTCGGTTTGACTCTAGATGCTACTGCTTTGAGTGTGTGGATATCCTGGTGGGTCCCGGGACCTCAGAGCGAATCAGTGCCATGGCCTGCTGGGTTTGCTTCCTGTGCCTGCCTTTCACTCGGAGGGGACTGCTGCAGAGGCGAAGGAAGTGGCGTCACCAGCTGAAGGCCTTCCACGATCTAGAGGGGGTAAGGACAACCAGTACTGTATCTGCTGCGGCAGATATACATACATACTCCATCACAGGATAAGGCTCTGGCCGTAATGCCCCTTTGCTGTCCTGCTGGAGAGCAGATGCCACTGGTGTTTCGTCATGAGGGTCTCAGATAGCCCAGGCTGGCCTTAGACTCACTATGGAGCTGAGGATCACCTTGAACTCAATGAGTACTGGAATTTCTCATTGGGTCGCAGGTTTCACAAGTTCTTTACTGAGCTGTATCCTTGATCATCATTTTGTTTCTTATAAGCCTAGGGATGACTTTCAGTCACAAGTAGGACGAGCCCCCTCCACAGACATATATAAGTCCATCACATCAGCTTGAATGCTTAGCCAACATGGTATCCTGTGTGCAGCCAAGGCTGCCGTCTCAAGGGTGAAGCCCAGAGGGGTCAAAACAGTCCAAGGTGAAGATGCCTGGATGGTGTGTGTCTCCTCTCCCCAAAACATCTGTCAAGGTCATAAACCAGGGACCTGAAAATGCAACCTAATTTGGAAGTGGGGTCTTTGTGGTGTCGTTTAGCTGAGCTTGAGATGAGAGCAGTTTGGAATGAGGTAGCCCCTGCATGAAGTGGGGGTGTCCTTATAAGAGAAGGCGTTTTGGGGGGTTGAGACATGTAAGAAAAAAACCTAGTGATAAAGGCGGAGGCAGCATATAGCCAGTAGGAGCCCTGGTGTCACCTGGCTTTCAGGCTGCTGGGCTATGGGAATGATTTTGCTCTCCTGGAGTACTTAGAGCCTGAGACCTACAGAGCTACCCTCTGCTAGGCTCCATTATCCTCTAACTTCAGAGAAACCTTACTCTGCTTCCCTTGAGATTTGTGGGGGTCCAGGCAAGAGACCTAGACCTGGGGAGTGGGTGGAGTTGGCCTCCAGGGAGGGAGGGACAACCATGGTCACTACAGGGCCAGCCAGGCCTTGGCAAGTGTGTCCCAGGGGGCTCTCAGTTGAGTGCTGTCCATCCAGGGAAAGACAGCTGTAGGAGCCACTTAACCATAACTCAGCCAGCTCTCTCTGAACAACTAGTACAGATCCTCTTGCCTTTTTCTCTCTTTCCGTTTTTCTATTTCCTTTCCAGTCAAATCCTGTGAAGATGTACAAGATAGTGTCTGCCTGGAAGAGACAGCCCGTGAGGGTGCTTAACCTTTTTGGGAAGATTGATAAAGGTGAGTGTTGTCACACCAGGTGACTACAGAAGAGGGGACAGGAGGAACTCAGAGTGTTCTGGTGTCCTTGGCATCTGAGGTGTGGAGCAGGGATTGAGAATAGAATGCCAGTTGAGTTGGGCAGCGGTGGCGCATGCCTTTAATCCAGCATTCAGGAGATAGAGAGGCAGGCAATCTCTGCGAGTTTGAGGCCAGCTAGTTCCAGGACAGCTAAGGCTACACAGAAAAACCCTGTCTTGAAAAACAAAACAAAAAACAAAGAAAGAAAGAAAGAAAGAAGAAAGAGAAAATAAAAAATACCAGTTGAACTTCTTCCTCAGACTTCTGGAACTGAGGGAACTGAGTATCCTAGGAAAGGATCTGACAACCAGAGAAATCCCCCAACTGTGCACCCAAGCAAGAGCGAAGGTCCCAGCTCCCCAAGAGGAGGCAGGGATGGGAAAGGGACAAGCCCATCAGGGTAGAGGGGAGATACTGCTGGTGAGAAGACTGGGTTCCAACAACTGTGCTCCCCCATATAGGCTCCCCCAGCCGCCTCATCTTCCTAAACCCTCTTTCTATACTTGAATCTCCCAAGTTATGTCTTCTGGAGTCCTGCCCCTTAGACTGTCCTGATCCCCATGTGCCCACCGAGCACAGAGCCCTGAAGACGCTCTGTTCTCTGGCTAAAGCATATCCCACTGCTGATACCACCAGGAGCGCAACCAGTGACCCCCCACGGTGTATCACAAGCACCCATGCGGTAGTTACAATTGTATCACTATACATTTAGGACACCCAGTTCAACTTGCCCAAACTCTCATTCTTCGGATCTGAAGGAAATTCACCTGCTCTGTATGTCACCACTCTGGTTCAAACATGACACCACTATGGAAGCCACAGCCCCACTGGTGGCCTAAGCCAGTGAGTGAGAGCATGGCTCAGAAATGCAGTTTTGCAACCGATTTCTTGACTTTCACAAAGTAACCCTCAGGAAGTTTGTCCTTGGGCTCCGATGCCAGAAAAGATCAAGCTGCTGCTCTGTGCTAGGAAAGACCGCACTGTCACGGATCCGTCCCCACTCTGCGGGGACAGAGCCCATGTCACCTCGGTTCTCTGTGTCCATCTTGTCTGTCCTCTCTCCAGAGCTTGAGAGTTTGGGCTTTCTGGAAAGTGGTTCTGGTTCAGAAGAGGGAAGACTGAAGTACTTGGAAGACGTCACCAATGTTGTGAGAAGAGATGTAAGTTGAGGTGTTGGGGGGCAGGGCTGCCAAGGCCAGGTGTGCCAGGGGACAGATGCCAGGGCCTGGGGGGAGGGGGAGGGAGGGAAGGAACCCTGGAGGGGCAGGAAGGAACAGGCAGGGTGCAAGGAACTGCCAGAGGTCTTCAGACCAGCATGGGGTCCTGGGTCTGGCTGTGGCCCTGCCCCAGTGGAGTCAACACTGTTAGGCCTCACAGAGGGAGGCGGGAGTGGAATGCATCCCTCAACCCTGATCAGGGCAAGCAGCCAGACATCTTGAAGTCTACATGGCTGGCTTCTGCTGCCTATGCTGGCGGATATGCATGGGTGGAGAGGCTCAACCCCACGACACTCTCATTGTTGCAAGTCTTGAGCTGAGCAGCCAGCAGTTGAAAACCTCTTCCAAACACAAAGCTGGTGCTGCCTTGTCCCTGTAATGGGAGCCCTCTTGGGCTCCTCCTGGGAGCATGGGGGGTGGGGCAAGTTGCATTTGGGCCTCTTAAATAGACAGTCCGGGTACTGGTCTTTACCACGGAACCCTGACCACTTTCTTTAGCCAGATCCCAACCAGTCATTGCCCCTGAAGGATCTCAGGTGCACATCTGAAATCAGGTAGAAAAGATGGGGACATAGAGAAAGCAAGAGTCAAGAAGTTGGGGCCTAATTTAGGAGTCAGCCCACTACTGAGAGAAATGGGGAGATCCAAGAAAGTGGGGCCTATTCTAGATTGGGAAAATCATGCTTAGACATCTTAGGAATGCCTCCCTCTCTCTTTCCCTCCCTCCCTTCCTCTTCTTCCTTCCTTTCTTTCTCTTCTTTCCTTCCTTTCTTTTCTTTTCTTTTTTTTTTTTTTTAGATTTATTTATTATGTACAGTGTTCTGTCTGCATGTATGTCTGCAGGCCAGAAGGAGGCACCAGATCTCATTACAGATGGTTGTGAGAATTGAACTCCGGACCTCTGGAAGAGCAGCCAGTGCTCTTAACCTCTGAGCCATCTCTCCAGCCTCTAAATAACTTTTCTCAACTCTTTCTTTCTTCCTTCCTTTCTTCTTTTTTTCTTTTTAGTTTTCATTTTTGTTTTCTGAGACAGGGTTTCTCTATGTAGCCCTGGCTGTCCTGGAACTTGCTTGATAGACTAGGCTGGCTTCCAACTCAGTGAGATCCACCTTTCTTTGCCTCCCAAGGGCTGGGATTGAAGGGGTGAGTCACCATTGCCAGGTAGAACTTTTTCTTAGAATAACGTTCAGGTTCAGGTTTGAGCCAGGCAGTGGTGGTGCATGCCTTTAATCTTAGCACTAGGGAGGCACAGAGGCAGGGGCTGAGTTGGAGGCTAGCCTGATTTACAGATCAAGTTCCAGGACAGTCAGGACTACACAAAGAAACCCTGTCTCAAAAAACAAAACAAAACATGTCCAGGGCTAGAGAGGCCATCGGCGAAGCAGGGGTTCTTTAGAGGATTCCAGGGCTAGAGAGGCCATCGGCGAAGCAGGGGTTCTCTAGAGGATTCCTTGCATTTGGGACAGTACAGGGGCTGACTGTTTCATTCTCTCCTCAATTGGCCAGCAAGTGACCCTGTCTGGTACTAAGTGGGAATTGTTTATGGCCATCAGACAATGTCCACCCTGCCATCTGTGACCAGCTGCTGGCTCACAGCATAATCCACAATTTCCCAGAAGGATGTGGAATAATCCCTCAGGCTGAGCAGTGTCCTCCCTCCAGGACTGACCCCCCCCTTTTAAAAGCACGTTTTCCGAGGAAGAATCTCAGATATGGAATGTTCTCGGGCTACCACTGTTTGGGCTTCTCCTGAGAGCCATTGGTGTCTGGGATCTCTGCTAAAGTGGGTCCCAAGGCTTAGCTAGGAGGTCTTCTTGGGTCACCCCCAAGGTACAACATTGGAGAGATACGTGGGATGCAAAGGCCCTAATGCTGGTCGCCAGTGTGGAAGCACTTAGCTTTGCCATCCTCGTCCCATAATAACCGTGTATGTGTTCCCTAGGTGGAGAGATGGGGCCCCTTTGACCTCGTGTATGGCTCGACACAGCCCCTAGGCTACTCTTGTAACCGCTGCCCTGGTGAGTTTCAAGAAATGAACTGTTTCGGCTCCAGTCACCGAAGAATCTTGTCTTCAACCCTGTCACCTCTACCCTGTCCTTTCTTCTGTCTCTATATTCCCTCATGCCACCTCAGCCTTCAGACAGGGCAGAAATCTCACACTCCACATTTTAATTCAAACCAGCTTCCCTGGGCTGTAACTGGCAGATGAACCCGCACAGGCTCTGTGTGCTGTCGGGTGAGCTCTAGACTAAACGGACGTTTGCGTTCCCATCTCCACCATGGGAGAGCAGAGGTGCCCAGCGTTTGCAAATGTGTTATCCTCTACCGGGCCTTTGTCATCTGAACCTGGCCTTCCCCCGGTTCATGGCAGGCTGGTACATGTTCCAGTTCCACCGGATCCTGCAGTATGCTCAACCACCCTCAGGGAGTCAGCAGCCTTTCTTCTGGCTCTTTTTGGACAATCTACTGCTGACAGAGGATGACCAGGCCACAGCAACCCGCTTCTTCCAGGTGGGTATATCTGGGGGGTAGGAGCTTAGCCTGTACCCAGTTGTGGGACCCTCACTCCTGCAGCCTCTACTACCCTGGCATGTGCTGGGCCACAAGGACATTGGGCATCTGAGACAGATTGCAGATTTTCAGGACACTGGCCCCTACAGGGACAGCCTTGAAAGGCAACCCCCCTCCTACTACACCACTCCTGTGCATGCAAGTCACAGGCACCCAGATTCATGGCCCCCTCCCCCTCTCACCTTTCAGTTTGCACAGATGAGCACATCCCCTCACACAGAACACACATTCCACAAGACATGCATGGCCACTCCATGCACTCATATGTTCATGTGCATGTTCTCCCCTTTTACCTGCACCATCAGTGTGACCACCACCTGGGGCCCAGCGGTCAGTTCTCTCCAGGGCCGATTTGGGCCAGTGGGTCAGGGATAGCTGTGGAGGGTGGGGAGTGACTGACAGTCTTGGATATAGGAGATAAGAGACAGCAAGAAAAGAAGAAACTTGTTGTGCCTACCTCCCAGAAGGAGACACAACAGAGGGCTGGGGAGCCGGACCTAGTATGGGAGAAGAGGGGGTGGGGACTCATAAGCACCATGCAGTTTTCCTGGATACAGAAAAGTCAATCAGGAATGAGAGACTCTGCTTGCCAAGTGCTGGGATTAAAGGTGTGCACTACCATGCCCAGCCTCAAGGGCTCTTTATTAAGATTTATGAGATGGCTGGATTATTGCCCCCAACCACCTACATCTGGTAATGGGTGGAGTATGTGGTCAGCGCTGCTAGGATGAACTAGCCTGGCATTCCCTAGGAAAACCCACTTGGCTGCGGTGTGTCAGCACGCGGCTAAAGCCTGCAGAAAGTGTTATACGTAGACTCTTCTGAGTTGACAAGTGCAAAAGGCGTTTGGTCTGTGGTTTTCTCTTTTGTGGGCTCCTTCTTAGGTTTTTGTTTCTGTGTTGAATCTGGTTCATAGAAAAATTTTACATGGTGAAAAGAATTCTATGAAATTGTGTTGTGTGGGAAAGTTTTAAAAAGCAACAACAAAATGTAAGCTGGGTACAGTGGCACATGCTTTTGCTTTTAATCCTAGCAAAAGAGGAGGATCTCTGTGAACTGGAGGCCTGTCTGGTCTACACAGTAAATGCCAGGGCAGCCAAGGCTACATAGTGAAACTCTGTCTTGCCTGCTCCAACCCCGAGAGAGAGAGAGAGAGAGAGAGAGAGAGAGAGAGAGAGAGAGATTTATGAAAGTCCATCTATGATGATATTGTCTTAGACCAAGCTGGCCTCAAACTCAGAGATATGCCTGCCTGCCTCTGCATCCCGTGTGCTGGGATTAAAGGTGTGTCCACCACCACTGCCAAGAGATTTTCTGTCTTTTCAGAAGTCAGTGTTTTGGAACCTTGCCTTATTCTAGAACATAACCCATTTCAGTGAAGTGTTTTTCTAGAGTTGATCCAAGTGATCTTCAGGCTTTAGTTCTTCGTAGTTGTGTAAGAAAAAATGGGCATTCTGTGAGCGGCACCGCAGAGGAAGCATGACCCGCCTGGATGATCTATTGACGTGCGCCCCACAGGGAAGAGATTGCATCTGTGTCCCGCTGACCCACAGCCCCCTCTTCTCCCACAGGTGGAGGCTGTGACCCTCCAGGATGTCCGCAGCAGAGTCCTCCAGAATGCTGTGCGGGTGTGGAGCAACATCCCAGGGTTGAAGAGGTATCTCTCAGGGAGGAGGGAGGGCCAAAGACTCAGATAGAGGAAACCGTGCATTCTGATAGACCCAGGCCTAAATGGTCCCATGCTCCACCTAGCAACCTGTTATCCACCACAACCCTGGACACACTAGGGCTCAGGGTGCCCCTGCACACTGAGGGACTCTCCCTATGTTCACCCAATACCTCAGGACTGGACAAGACTTTCCTCATCCTCAGGAGAAAGTCCAGCCTCCTGAAGCTCCTGCCCAACACACACTAGTGCTCATACCACACAGTCATTCTTAAAGACTGACGCCACCCCGAACACATTCACACACCCACACACAGACACCCACTTGCTCGCAGATGCGTGCAGATCGAGCCAGCTTGAACTGTGTCTTCTGAGACTGCGAAGTCGTGTCTTTTCCTGCCCTATAGTGAGTTTCTGGAAACTTCCCACCCACCTCCTCCATCCCAGCATTCTCCTGACTCCCAGACACTATGCGAGTCAGGTACCACCCGGTTCCTCCACCTGGATGCTTTCAGGACTTGGGTTGAAGTGGGGCTGAGGAGACATACTTTCCCAGACATTCTTTTTGGATGTTTCTAAGTAAGGTATGGTCTCCTGCCTGGCATCCTTTTCTGATTGGTTCTGTGGGATAGGCAGGAGAGGGACAGAGAATGGGCTGAACAATTGGCAAAAGATGCTAGGCTCTACTGTTAGCTGTGGGCCTATCAGGCCTGCCAGGTCTTCTATTTCCTAACAACAAGCATGCTTTAGAAGGAATCATGTATGGTCCAGCCAATCCTAGTACATGTGGCTGTCTGAGAGGTACCTGCCCCTCTTTAGCTGCCCCACCGTGAGTTCCTGCCAGACTTGTACCATGGAGGGACAGTTTCTCTCCTCTGGGCCCCAGCCCCACCTCTTTTCTGATTTGAGGTACTTCCTTTCTGATTTAGAGCCCCCAAAGGAAGTTGAGTGCTGGGCGCACCTGCACCTAATACCTAGGGTCACTTGACTTCTGGAGGAAACAGGGTGGCTTCGCAGTGAGGTAAAAGACTCTTGGCCACTGAAGTAGGAATTAGCTTGCCAAGTTCACAGGCAGTTCATGGAATGTCTGCACATGAAGATGGGAGAAAGTAGAGGGCGTGCCTTCTGACATGCCTTGGTCTGCCCCCCACAATGGAGATGCTCCTTAACTGCCCCAGGGCCTGGGCACACAGAAAGGTGACGCTAAGTGTCATATTTGGGGGACTCCAGGATGAGGCTCACATACTTTCGGAGCCCCTGGGGCACGGACTTAGCACTTGTGTAAGCTGTGTTTGTCGTCATGTCAGGCCTCCCGGGAACAGTACGTGTGCACACTTGAAGGGTCTTACTGATCTTTACCCTTGCTCTGTGGGCATCAGGCTCACATCCACTTTTGGCAGCTTCTTGGCTCCCTCTGCACACCAAAAAGGGGATATGCTAGACTGGATCAAAGATCAAAGGTCTCAGCTGGGGCGTAATGGGAAGTGGGACACATGGTTTTTTTTTTTTTTTCTTTTCCTTTTGGTTTTTCAAGATAATGGTTTCTCTGTGTAACAGCCCTGTCTGTCTTGGAACTCACTCTGTAGACCAGGCTGTCCTTGAACTCACAGAAATCCACCTGCCTCTGCCTCCCAAGTGCTGGGATAAAGGTATGCACCACCACCGCCTGGCTCATGCCTTGGTTTTTCAGTCCCAGCAGAAGAAGCAGGTAGATTTCAGTGTTTCCAGGCCAGCCTGGTCTACATAGTAAGTTCCCTGCCAGCCAGGACCACATAATGAGATACTGTCTTGGGGCGGGGATTGGTCTTTGGGAACCCTGCTTGTTCCTAATCTATCCAGAGGCAAGGCCTGAGGGCACTTAACCTAGAGGCCACAGGTGACCTTACAGGAACCTCAAGTTCCCGCCAGCCCAGTGTTGTATTTTTAACAGGCAACTCTTTCCTTGGTAGCAAACACTCGGCCCTAACACCTAAGGAGCTGCAGTCCCTGGAAACCCAGACCAGAACCAGAGGCAAGATGGCTACCCAGAAAGTTGACCTCCTGGTGAAGACCTGCCTTCTCCCCCTGAGAGAGTATTTCAAGTATTTTTCTCAGAACCCACTTCCTCTTTACAAATGAATCATAATACAATGAAAGAAGAGGTTTTCCTAGAACCACAGCCGCCTTCCTCCTGTGGCCTTTTCCCTCGGCAAGGTTTTCTTCCGTTTGCTTGCTTGCCTTTGGGGTTTTCCTGTTTGGTTCCCAAGATGCAATGCCTCCCATGCAGCTCACTGTGTGGGTGGGAGGCACCCACTTCTGCGGACAAGATCCTGATGGGACAGCCCGCTATGCATCTCCAGAAGTGTGTGTGTGTGTACCTGTTGTGAAGTCTTTCAAATATTAAAGGTTTTGGTAGAGTTTTGGTGGGGTGTGTGCATGAGGCGTTTATTCTGTATGTCACAGTGATGACAATACATGTCTGACGTCCTGCCCTGGGCATATAGCGCCTTCATCACCTGATATTTGCCTTGATGGCTGAAATTGCTCACTCTCTGGTTGCTATACAAAGCAATCCAAATCACTGCTGAAGCTTACCCCTGGCGAGCAGACACGTGACTTCTGTGTTGTCCTGACACAGTGGGAGCTTGCAGAAGAGGGTTCCCAACTGCTCTTGGCAGTCGGTGTTCCACGGAAGCTGAATCCACTGGCAAGTGTGGACTGGCCAGTTTTGAAATGCCTGGTGAACTATCCTGATGAGGCACGACCATTCCTACACACATTGGATGGAGACTCAAACTGCCTGAGTACCACAACTGAGGCTCAGGACCGACTGTCACCCGTGCTGGCAGGCACTGTCAGTGCTCTGGCCAGTGTTCTCTGACAGGAAACTGGGCCACTGTGGGACCCTGAAATAGGAGAGGAGCTGTCTTGGGCCAGTAGATAGGACTTCTCAGTGTCTCGAGCAGTTATGGGGCCTCTGAGGTGGTTCAGTTCAGTGGGTAGAGATGCTTGCTCCCATGCTAATGGCATGCATTTGATTTTTCTCAGAACCCACCCCTGTGAGTCATCTTCTGTGGCACGTGTGTATGTTAGCACATGTTACAGGGATTCCTGTGTAGGCCAGGGGTCTACCCACCCAGGGGACTGATGAGGCAGCTGGAGCAAAAAGCATGAATCCGTGGTCACCACTGGACAGATGATGTGGCAAGAGCTCGGAACAGAGTGGCAGCTGCTGCCACCCAAGGTTACAATACCATGGATCCCCATAAGTGACTGTTACTTTCTCTTTTTATCCTTTCTTTTAAAAAAGCAAGATGAAGCCGGGCAGTGGTGACTCACGCCTTTAATCCCAACATTTGGGAGGCAGAGGCAGGCCAGATCTCTGTGAGTTCAAGGCCAGCCTGGTCTACAAGAGCTAGTTCTAGGACAGGCTCCAAAGCTACAGAGAAACCCTGTCTCCAAAAACAAAAAACAAAAAAGAAAGAAAAAAGCAAGATGGTTGTTGGTGGTGCACACACGTTTAATCTCAGCACTCAGAAAGCAGAGGCGGGCAGATCTCTGTGAGCTCGAGGCCAGCCTGGTCTACCAAGCAAGTTACAGGACAGCCAGCCAGGACTGTTATACAGAGAAACCACGTGTCAAAAAAAACAAAACAAAAAAGTTGGGTGGTGGCAGCACACACCTTTAATTCCAGTACTTGGGAGGCAGAGACAGGCAGATCTTTGAGTTTGAGGCCAGCCTGGTCTACAGAGTGAGTTTCAGGATGGTCAGAACTACTAGGAGAAACCTTGTCTCAGAAACACTTGTTCATTTTGTGTGTAGGAGTAATGTATGCATGTGCCACAGTGCTGGTCAGAAAATGGCGTGTGTGAGTCTGCTTCCTCCTCCCCCTACCACGTAGGGTCCTAGGGATCAAATTCAGCTTGTCAGGCTTGGAAAACAGCACAGTTATCTGCTGAGCAATCTCACTGGCTGTTTCTGGTTTGTTTTTCTGAGAAAGGGTCTTATATAACCCAGGCTAGCCTCAAACACTTACATAACCAACTCCCAAAGGTTAAGATACAGGCCTGCATCACTATGCCCGGCCAATGTCCACTTTCTATCAGTCAGCCTCCAAGAAGGGTCCAGAGCCACCAGTGTGCATCTTTCTACTATCCACCTTCCACACACATGCACACGTACACACACATACAAACACACACACATACACACACACACACACACAGTAGCATGGGCCACATTGAGAGATTCCCCCACTACATATTCTAACCCTGCTCAAGATCCCTTGTGGTCAGGTGAACAGTGACCCTCACAACATACCTGTTCAGTGACTCTCTGAAGCCTGTGAATGTCTGTCACCCAACGTGCCCCAAAGGACTTCACTGATGCAAGCTCTGCTGGGCCACCCAGTGTTCCTGCATGAGCCACAGACATCTCAGGGTAGAAGGAAGTGACGGTACCAATGGACATCTGTGCAGCCACAGAGGTTGGGACTGAAGGGAGCCTCTGCCAAAGGATACCTGAAGCCATCAGGAGCTGAAGCCAACAGGAGCTGAAGCCAGTGAAGGTCTCTCCTTATAAGGCAGGGCTATTTTTAATCTTTTAACTTACATGCATGAATACTTTGCATGTGTGTCTGTGTACCATTAGTAGCCCTGGTGTCAGAGACCAGAAGAGGGAGCTGAATGCTCTGGAACTGGAGCTATAGACGGTTGTGAGCCTCCATGTGGGTGCTGAGGATCGAACCTGGGTCCTCTGGAACAGCATCAAATACTCTTAACTGTTGGACCATCTCTCCAGCCACAAAAGCTATTGTTTTTAAGTGTGTGTGTGTATGTATGTAAGTGTGTATGTGTGTGTATATGTGTATGTGTGTGTGTGAGTGTGTATGTGCGTGTAACTGTGTGTGTGTGTGAGTGTGTATGTGTATGTATGTGTGTATGTATCTGTGTATGTGTGTGTGAGTGTGTATGTGTATGTATGTAAGTCTGTATGTGTGTATATGTGTATGTGTGTGTATGTAAGTGTGTATGTGTGTGTATATGTGTATGTGTGTGTGAGTGTGTATGTGCGTGTAACTGTGTATGTGTGTGTGTGAGTGTGTATGTGTATGTATGTAAGTGTGTATGTGTGTGTATATGTGTATGTGTGTGTGAGTGTGTATGTGTATGTATGTAAGTGTGTATGTGTGTGTATATGTGTATGTGTGTGTATGTGTGTGTGTATATGTGTATGTGTGTGTGAGTGTGTATGTGCGTGTAACTGTGTATGTATATGTATGTGTGTGAGCGTATATGTATGTATATGCATGTGTGTATGTGTGTAGTTGTAGCTGCCCCAGGGAACGGACAGACCGGTCCTAAGAGAAAAGAGTGGCTTCCTCCTGTCAGCAATCACAAATGTCTGTGACATTAAAGGCAGTCACTGTCCTTACCTCCAGGGATGTGTTCTTCCACGTGTAAGACCAAACTGCCCTGCTGGAAGACCCACTGTCTCTGAGTACCCATCAGACATTTCAGGCTACACACTTTCCACATTTGCCCTGTCATACTTGGGAACCTTGGAGCCCCAAGTCTGCATGGATATAATGACTATTGGCTCTCACTTCCGGCCACCAGCCTTCCCACATTCTGTTCGCCACGAACAGACACTGTTAAGGACAAAACCAAAACTATGCCCTAGCCACAGTCTCCCAGCTCTTGGGTTTGCCTTAAAATATTGTGTGTGAGGCTGGAGAGCTGGCTCAGAGGTTAAGAGCACTGGCTGTTCCTCCAGAGGTCCTCAGTTTAATTCCCAGCAATCACATGGTGGTTCACAACCATCTACAATGAGATCTGGTGCCCTCTTCTGGCCTGCAGGTATACATGCAGGCAGAACACTGTACATGTAATACATAAATATTAAAAAAATTAAAAAAAAAACACTGTGTGTGAGCAGGACATGGTGGTGCATGCCTGTAATCCCAGCACAGGGGAGGCAGAGGCAGGAGGATTGAGAACTGGGGGCCAGCTTGGAGTGATCCCTTCTCAAAACTAAACCAAAGCAGAAGTCTGTATCTGCTTCCCATATAGTGTCAGGATGACCACTTGATATCTTACAGCAGAGGTTCTCAACCTTCCTAACACTCCGACCCTTTTATACAGTTCGTGTTGTGGTGACCCCTATTGTAGAATTATTTGCATTGCTACTTCATAATGTAATTTTACTACTGTTATGAACTGTAATGCAAATATTTGTGCTTTTGGATGGTCTTACATGATCCCTGTGAAAGGGCCGTTTGACTCCCAATGGGTCACCACCCACAGGCTGAGCACCTCTGTCTTACCAACATGCGTCATCACTGTTTCACTGATGGTGAGCAGCTCCCAGGAAGCAAAGGTGGGATTTGAGCCCAGCCATGCATTAGTCACTGCCTCCTGCCTTGGTGTCCCCTTCTCCCAGGGGTTCCTCTACCGCAGCTGCCCAGTTCTGCTTAGTGTCCATTTCTAGCCAAGGTTCAGTTCACTTCCTTGCTGTGCTAAGGTTTCCCTGCTTAGAGAGCTGCATTTGCCTTTCTGAGGTCCTAGATTTGGGGGGGGGGACCCATATTTGAAGAGCTCCAATCCCTGCCACCTTGTTGGTCATGGCATGGTCCAAGTTTGCCATAGAATCCCCTTCAACCACTGATTCCCACTGTCTGCCAGGAAGAACTTCTGGGTATAGGGCTGAGGGATGGTCATCATGTAGACACAGGGCAAGGAATAACCTAAGTGTTACCTAATGGGGGTGTTGTTCAGGCCCCTGGGCATCAGTGATGGGCCCAGTGGCTGATGCCAAGTCAGGCCTATCCAATCAGAGAGAGTATTGAGATTAGTGACAGGGTTGTACTTCTGGACTGGAGTAGAACTGGGGAACCTCTGGCCAGGGCAGTTGGGACATAGGGCATGGTGTTACCCCTCAGCAATTCCCATCCTTTTCATCTGCCCAGTAAAGCCAGGGTGACCCCCCAATACAGTCTTCTGCTGAGTCCTCCCTCAGCTGCTGCCAATCTAGAGGGAAGATGGGGAATAACTGAGGCCACCAACCCAGTGTGGTACCCAGCAAGACTCCAGGCTCACTCCTGGATTATCGCTGCCAGAGCCCAGTGGTCAAGTTCTAATACTCCTGTTTCTCCTAGCACAAAAGGCAGCCCCTCCCTGCGGGAAAGCTGTAGTAAGTGGAGCAGTGGGCTGCGTTTCCACACGGATCCACACGGCTAGCTTTATCTGAAATAACACCACACAAATTGTATTCATTTAAACACTGCCTGGCCCATTAGTTATAACCTCTTATTGGCTAGCTCTTACATATTGATCTAACCCATTTCTAATATCCGTATTGCCACTTGAGTGTGGCTTACCGGGACGAGTCTAACGGGCATCCATCTTGGAGAGGAGAGTCATGGCGACTGCCTGACTTGGCTTCTTTCTCCCAGTATTCTGTTCTGTTTACTCCACCTACCTAATTTTCTGTCCTATTAAAGGGCCAAGGCAGTTTCTTTATTTAACCAATGAAATCGGCACAAAACAGAAGATTCCCACATCAGAGAGCCTCCAAACCTTTCTCCCAGGCCCTTTCCATCAGCAGCTCTGGTTACCACCTCCCTTTCGCCTCTTCTGTTCTCTTATGCTTGCCCTGGTCTGCCTGCTCCCTGATGTTGGACTGCTAAGAGCCAAAGATTTCAATCTCTTTTTTTCTCTGGTTTTTCAAGACTGGGTTTCTCTATGCAGCCCAGGCTGTTCTAGAACTCACTCTATAGACCAGGCTGGCTTCAAACTCAAGAGATCTGCCCGCCTCTGCCTCCCAAGAGCTGGGATTAAAGGTGTGCGCCACCACTGCCACCCCCACTGCCCAGCTGTGATTTGTGGTGCTCACCTAGGACTCTGACAATGTTCAGAGCTCTCTTGACCATGTGACATCCTTCCGAGAGGCACAGGGTCAGGGGAGTATGCCTCCTGTACCTCAGGGCTTGGGGTCAGGAGGCTTGTTGTTCTGCCCTGATCAACATCTGGTGAGCTGCAACTGTAACAGCGCACACCCCTTAGGTCTAGGGAGGAACACCGCTGATTTGGGATGCCCTTCTGTACACTGCGAATGTATTGCTTTTATTGGCTGATGAATAAAGACACTTGGCCGATGGCAGGGCATAATATAGCTAGGTGGGATATCCAAGCAGAGGTGAAGAATCCAGGTGAAATCCAATACAGGTGAAGAAGGGTGGGGCCAGCAGAGAAGTCAGCGAATGACAGGAGAACAGATAATGCCATGAAGCGACGCGGCAATACATAGATTATTATACATGGGTTGATTTAAATGGAAGAGCTAGCCAGTAATAGCCTGAGCCATCGGCCAAGGAATTATAATTAATATTGAGCCTACAAATGACTATTTTATAAGTGACTGTAGGGACTGGAAGGGGCAGGAGAGAAACCTGTTCAGAGGGGCAGGAAGGGATAGGAAAACTTCTGGCTACACACACCCGCTAAGTAAGCAGTATGTGGATCTTTTGGGGGTGGGGTAAGGGTGGCCTGCCACAGTGTCCTCTCTATCAGTCTTGCCCAGGCTCTTCCATGGGTAAGGGGTCCCTGGGAGGGAACCTGCACCTCCTGGCCTCCACATTCTCAGCTGGCTGGCAGGTGGTGGGGGGGGCGATGGAGAGAGGTAGAAATCCTTAGCCTCAGGCCTAGGGCTCAGGTTAGGCCCCTCCCACCAGATTGAGTGCCAAGGAACACAAGGTTGGAAACAGGATTGCCAAGTCTGGCTGGCTTTGGAGGAGAAAATTGAAATCCCAACCCAGGCTCTTCGACTTCTTCCTGTGCAAATGTGTGGTCTCACCAAACCCTGGAAGATTGGGAAATAGTTGGGTAATGGGAGGGCTGGACCAGTTTCCTCTCCTGCTGGCCCCCACTTCCCTCCCACCTGCCTGCCTTCTACTCATTAATGCCTAATCTTTAGGTTCTCTGATCATCTACGGTGCTTGGCCAGCTCCAGGTCCGGGCTCTGAACCCAGGTTCATCCAGTGCAAGACAGGGCCCGACCCAACTCTAGAGGAAGGAGAGGCGGTTTGGTCCAGCACCATCTGGGCAACGCTGGGGGCCAGCGGCTGAGTGCTGTGTCTTCCCACACGCACACCTCAGCCCTGGACCGATGGACGGCGCATAGGTGCCGGCCGTCCTTTTGTGCTCGACGGGATCTATAAATCACCCCACACCCTCGCACCTGTAACCCAGGCCCAAGTCCCCGCCTGCTGACAAGCGGGCTCTGTCCCTGCCAGCAGTGGACTGGGCTGCTCACAGACCTTCCGCTCCTGCCTCCTCCCGCCCCCGGTGCTGTGACGGGAGGGACGGGCCGAGGGCGGGGATCTGGGCTGTACCCAACCCGACCGGCGCGCAGCTCTAGCGAGCGCAGTTACAGTTGCCGGCGAAGTTTCCGCAGCCCCAGATCTCCGCGCCCCAAGTCCTGGCAGCCCCAGTTCTCCGTGGCCCCCGAGGACTTTGAAACTCCCGCAGCTGCAGCCCAACGCATCTCGAGGTCCTGCACCTCTACGCGCCCACCATGCTGCTGAAGTGAGTCCGTTTGCGGTCGTGTCCCGGGAGTGGGATGGGTGTAGGGGAGCCGTGGGCTGGAGCCGGGGACCCACCCGGAATCGTGGCTGAGAGCGCCCGACAGTAATCTGGCTGCGGCCCAACAGAGGCGCGGCCGTCTGTCCCCCACTGCTCACCTGGACCTGCCTGCATGAACGGCAGGGGGCGGCGCGGGGCCAACCCGCTGCACCGCCGTCCAGACCCTGGCGCGTGGGCGAGTGGCTCGTGGGAGGAGGAAGGGCAAAGGCCGAGGCTGAAGGTGAAGACGCACACCAGCCCCCAGCACAGGCTTACCCGCCGCTGCCTTTGTCCCTGCTGATTTCCCAGAAGGAAGGATGTGCGCTACCTCAAAGCCCGGTTCATACCCACTGCTTGCGGACAGGGCGCCCCCTCCGTGTACTTGGCATCCTACAGATCCAGCGTGCCTAGGGGAAAGTAGGGAGGAGAGGGAGGGAGGGTGGGAGGGAGGGAGGGAGAGAGAGTGTTTGCACTTTGGCTTTTCCCTAAACTATCCCCCCAGGCACTTGTTCAGTGGACACCCTGTCCCCCTTGGCTGCTTAGTGAGACCCCCTGTCCACAGATGTCCTACCTATAGTCTCCAGGGAGAGAAAAGGGGAGCACCTGCAGGCTATAGAGTCCCTGATGACCAGTGGCTGGCTTGAGTTTGTGTGTGGGATCCCTAGACCTGAGGCATGATGACAATTTTCTGAGACTTTCAGGACTGCTGTTGAGGGAGAGTGAAGTTTCAGATGTCGAAGTTGCACGAACAATTGAAAAGCATGTATGCCCCGGCAGGGTCCTACCCCAAGCAGAGAGTCTGTGTGAATAGATGGTTTTGCAGAATGGCTAAAGTATTCCAGGTCTCTTTAGGGTGAGGTGCCTCCCCTTTCTCCACCCCCTCATTCATCCACCCCCTACCCACCACCTGGCAAGGCCTCCTGTGTGGCTTGGGAGAGGAGATGGAAAGGCTGAGGGGCATAGGACACCAAATCTCCTGTGAGTTCTGGGAGACACATTCCAGCCGCCAAGGGTCTGGAACGTGGAATCCCTCCAAGTCTGGTTTCAGATGATTCTGTCTCTCACCCAAGCTTGCCTCCCTTGGGGCCGGCAGGTGTCTCCATGCCCTTAACACCTCAGATGCAGCTTCTTATAGTCTTGTGTTCCTCTTCAGGAAGGCTAGGTGACAGAGAAGGGGCACAGGCCTCAGCAGTGATTCTCAGTGCCCCTTTACATCACACAAATCAACTGTCTTTCAGAGTTTGGAGGCTCTCAGACCCTGGGGACCTGCTGTGGGTGGAGGAAAGGGAGGTGTCTGGTCCTGGTAGACTCTCTGATGTCTCTGAGGAACAGCAGCCAAGGGTCCGGCTACAGGGGACTTCATGTCTCTGACAGGTGCCACTATCTCCCGTCCTTGGGAACCAGCCAGCCTGTGTGGAAGAAGCACCGTCTTCTTTCAGGAGGGTTCTTTTCCAGTCCGGGTCTGCTCCTGCTGCTCCTCAGCAGCCTGCACGCTGGTAAGTTGGGATGCTTCATGCTGTGCAAAGCGTAGATGTAGGCAGGGCATTAGGGAAACCCTGGACACAGCCCCTTTGACCTCTCCAGAGGTCCACTGGAGAGAGCTGGGTCCCCACCCCTAGGATGATATACAGGGTTGGAGGTCATAAAGGGAAGTGCTTTTCTAAGCTTTGTACTTTTCACCACATCTCTTGCTTGGGGTCAGTAGAATGTCCCTCCTGGTCTCTTTGCATGGCGAGCCATAAAAGCTACCTTTGGGAAGAACTGGGGGCCGGACACTGCCAAAGCTAGGGATGGACCAGCATTGGCACTAGGTGGACGCTTGTACCTCACACCTAAGTTGACACAAGGACTCTCACCCACCCTCCTCATGAACCTCACTGATCAATCCCTTTCTTGCCTTGGTGGGTTGGGGTAGGATTAGTGTTTGGATCTTGAGTGATAAACTGGGCCACTTTTGAATCTCTGCAGAGAGCGAAGTCAAAGAAATCCACGCGATGGTGGGCAGCGATGTGGAGTTCGGCTGCCTTTACCCTGACAAAAACCATTTCAGCTTGAATGATCTGCTGTTTGTCTATTGGCAAATCGAAAACCCCCAAACTGTGGTGGCCTACTACCTGTCCAATGAGTCTACAAGGGCGCATGCGGATGACCGATACAAGAACCGGGCCCATCTGTCACTGGAACGCATGAAGCAGGGTGACTTCTCTCTGCACCTGCAGAATGTCACTCCCCAGGACAACCAGGAGTTCACTTGCCTGATATTTAAGAATGCCAAAAAAGTCTTACATGAGACAGTCAGGCTGCACGTGGCAGGTAAGACCCTCCAAACGGAGAATTGGCTTTACTCAGCCTGATGCTCTTGAACAGACAGTCCAGCCTGTCTCTGTGGTGGCCTTCTGTTTACTTGTGCAGCTCTGATCTGAGCAGAGTCCAAGAACCCCAGATTTCAGAGAACTGTCTATTTGGCCATCTCTGTCTTTAACTGTCCAATTCAACTCAAAGTAGATACTAAAAACTGAGTTAGTAGTGGGTGGGGTGATGGCCCATTCAGTAGAGTGTTTACCATACAAACTTGAGGACCTTAGTTCAATCCCAGTACCCATATAAAGTCAGACCGAGTGGCATGTATTTGGTTGTAGCCTCAGGGAGGCAGAGATAGCTGAATCCTTGGCTCACTGGCTAACCAACCTAGCCCACTGAGCTTTGGGCCAGTAAGAGCTTCTTCCCCCTAAAAATACAAGGTGGACAGCTCCTATGGAACACTAGATGCTGTACTCTGACTTTGTGCACTCCTACACACATGCGCACAAAGCCCCTGCACAGCCCCAACATGTTCTCACATACATGCATACACAAGGAGTAAGGAGCACTGGAAATCTAAATGAGGTAGACTTTAAGGGAAAACTTACTCCACAAGGATTTGGGGGCCCTTGGTGGGGAGGCAGTAGGTCTCTAGTGAGGAAAACTAGGCTCCCACACCAAACTCCTGATCCCTTATGGAGGCACTGTGACCAAAACGTTTAATCTAGACAACAAAGAAATGTTGACAGAGATGTCCCATAGTTTCAGGTTTGGGGCCTTCCTAGAGGGAGAGGCACCGTGGCAGGGCAGTGCAGGTGATGGCAGGAACATGTGGCAGAGGCTGTTCAGCACACAACAGACCAGGATGCAGAGGAAAGGGCAGGCTAGACAGCGACTCTTCTTCTCTTCCTTTAAATATTTATGGGTATGGGTGTTTTGTCTGCATGTATGTCTGGTGGCCACAGAGGGAATCAAATCTTAAGAGTTAGAGATGGTTGTGAGCTAGGTGTTAGGAATCCTCCGGAAGAGTCCTCTGGAAGAGCAGTCAGTGCTCTGAACCGTCCCTCAAGTCAGTGTATGGTGGGAGTTAATCCAGTTAACCTTCTGGACCCCCTCATAGACGTGCCTAGAGGTTCATCTAAGAGCAGGTGGTTTCGGTCCAGTCAAATGGTGGTGAAGGTTTAGCCGTCTATGTCTATGGGGCAGTCAGCCCCGTGGGCAGTAGGAGCTTCTTTGGCTTTGCTCTGGTCAGGCATCCCCACTGGTCTGAGCCTTCTTCACCACTGCCTCCTTTCCCTGCAGCGAACTTCAGCACACCCGTCATCAGCACCTCTGGTCCCGTCACCCCAGACCAGGAGGGACTCACCCTCACCTGCATATCCAGGAATGGCTACCCCAAGCCCAACCTGTACTGGATCAACCGGACGGACAACAGCCTGATAGACGAGGCTCTGCAGAATAACACTGTCTCCTTGAACGAGTGGGGTCTATATGATGTCATCAGCACCTTGACGGTCCCATGGGTGGCTCATGTGAACGTTAGCTGTTCTATAGAGAATGTGGTTCTCCACCAGAACCTCACTAGCATCAGCCAGGCAGGTGAGGCCCAGGCTGGGGTACAGGGACTCAGCGGGCATCCAGGTCGTGGGATAGGAGAGGCCCAGTCATGAACAGACTCCTTACAGAGAGTGGCAATGAGGGACTCTTGCTTTCTGCAGGCAGGGGTAGAGAGTCCTTCTCTGGGTTGTCATAGTAACCTTTACTCACTGTCCAAGCAAATGATTAGCATGGCTATCACCCACAGCAGATGTTTCTTGTGCTCTTTAGCCAGTGAGGCTGTGCAGAACCTGGTGCACCTCAGGAGCCAGAGATCTTGACCAGGATGGAGGGCCATACCGGGGCACTCCCCCACATTCTCTGCCTTTGAACATGTGCCCCCCCTCAGGGCATTCAGCTGGGCTTAGCTGCTGACTGCATCCTCTATAAACCACAAAGACATGAATGACCCTCCCCAGAGACCTTAGTCATCCCAGTCCAGAACCAAGGCAGTCCCCAGATATTAGAAGAGTGATTCTGTTCATAGGAAGTGTCGCAATTAGGTGGTCCATGGAGGGAGAAGACAGGTGAGAAGAGGCCAGAAGCTGGGGTGCAGTGGGGTGAGGAGGAGTGCTGGTACTACATTGGCATCCTCAGTGCTGTTGAATTGACACAGAGTGGGTACCTATGTATTGTGCAAATGTCAAAGGAGAGATTGTATTTCTTTCATACCCCACCCTTGCAAGCCCAGGGATAAATATTTCATTTGTATTTTAATAAATAAAGCTTGCTTGAAGACCAGAGAGTAAAAACAGCCACACTGGTCAGCCTTACAGACCAGGCAGTGGTGACACACACCTTTAATCCCAGTAGCCATAATGACACACACCTTTAATCCAAGTAGCCACAATAGATTGCCATAGAAACCAGGTGGCAGTGGTGCTCACCTTTAATTATAAGACAGGAGGAGACCCCTCAGCAGTCTTACTCTGAGCTTTCCTGGAGGCAGGGTCATCGTTTTAGACTGAGGTCGAGGAAGAGCCAGTGGCTGGCTGCTTTGCTTTTCTGGTCTTCAGGATAAACCCCAATATCTGTCTCTGGTTTTTATTAATGGTGCTTCAGGGCCCCTGGCCTGAAAGAGCACATGTATACCAGCCCGAGATTTTAAAACACATGCAGTGATGGCAGGGAACCTCTTGAAAATCCTCTGCCCCTTTCTTCCCAGGGAAAAGGCCTCCTTATCAAGGTCCTTTAAGTCTTGAGCATTTTCCCATTTCCTTTCTTTTTCTTCTTTTTTTTTTTTTGGTGGGGGGCGTGGAGAAGAGGGGTTTGAAACAGGGTTTCTCTGAGCAGCCCCGGCCATCCTAGAACTCTCTCTGTAGGCCAGGCTGGCCCCTGCCTCCCATTGCTGGGATTAAAGGTGTAAGCCACTACCACCTGACCACATTTCCTTTCCTTAGACAGGGTCTCCTGTAGCCTAGGCTGGCCTCAAACTCTGTAGCCAAGGTGAACTTGTATTGATTCTCTGTCCCCACCTCTGGAGTGCTGGGGTGACAGGTGTGTTCTGCCACACCCAGTTTATGTGGTCCTCAGATGGCACCCAGGGTTTAATGTCTGCTAAGCAAGCACTGTACCCACTGAGACACATTCCCTTTCCTGCAGAAAAATCCACTGGAAACAATGACAGCTTCACAGGCAATCTACAGGAGCACCGCAGCCAGAATGCCATTTTCATCATCCTTCCCTTGCTCCTGGTGGTCGCGGGTGCCATTGTTGCCTGGGTTTGCAGAGCCAAGTGTCCCCACAGACGCTATAAAGGTTTGTTTGAGACTCGCTGACCATCTATTTACTCTGTTGCTGTGAAGGCTTTGGGTTTTACAGATTCCTACACACTTTGAGAAGATTGCATTTAAGATCTACTTTAAAAAAGCATAGGCATGCTTAGCAAGAGCCTGACGCCTCCCAGAGGAGGCAAGAAGCCACTAGTTCTCAGTTTGTGGCCAATACCAGCAATGTCTGAGCTGCTCCCCTGGCCCATGGCCCCCTACTGATCTGGACAGAGCCCCTGAGCTGGGGACACAAAGCACCACTTAAAAAAATATGTATATATACATATATACACACATATATATGTATATGTACACATATATACACACATATGTATAAAATTTTATTTGTATGCGTGTGTACCTGGTGTATGTGTGTGTATATATGTGTGTGTGTGTGTGTGTGTGTGTGTGTGTACTATCTATGTGCAGAAGCCAACAGAGGTCAGAAGAAGGCATGAATATAAAGTTATAGGTGGTTGTGATCCACCACGTGGGTGCCGGGAATTGAACCCAGGTCCTCTGCAAGAGCAGTAAGTGCTCTTAACCACTGAGCCATCTTTCCAGCCCTGACATAAAGTGACTTAAATGTTTCTGTCCACTTGTTCCTTAAAATCCATCTTCCCTTAAAAGCAAGATTGTCTGGGGAGCCCCTGTGGGGAGTCCTCTCCTGCCCAGAGTAGAAACCTTGGGGAGATGGTGGACAGAAGGGGTGATGCTACCTTCCCACAAAGCCTGAACCTCTCTGCTTTGACCCGCAGGTCCCTGGACTGTCGCACGGGAGCACACAGGTGAGTGTGATTTGGGGGCGGCAGGTTGACTAAGTTGTCATGGCCCTTCACACCTTCAGTTGGTGGTTTGAAATACCTGATGATTCCATAGATGGAGAAACCCTGTCCTGTGGTGGAAACTTCTAGGCCCAGCACAGCAGATAGCCCTGTCATAGGTCCCCAGGCCCCTCCTGCCTCTGCTCTGTGGGACTCATCAAATCTATGATTCTAGCAACTCAGTCTTTTTTGGTGGAGGTGTGCCTCCTATAGCCCTGAGAACAGTGGCAGGTGGACCTTCATAGTCCCCAGAGGTGTGGATTCATATCCCAGTATTAGAGAGACATCCACACACAGTGTTGGTGACCACCAGATAATGACCCTGGCTTTAAGGCCTTTGCCACCTCCAAAGTGACTGTACCTCCCTGAACTTGACTTCTTCCTCTTAGAGGGTGTGTGGTCCCATCAGTGCTGGGATGGGGCCGGTTCGCTTACCTTGGGTGAGCAGGCTTCGATGGCTGACACCTCCCATTCCAGGCTGGCCAAGCTAGTGTCAGACCACTTTGGAACAAACTTAAAGGGCTGGGCCACTTGGTCCTCACCCAATCATGTGACTCCTCTAGCCAGCTGCTTCTAATTTTTATCCCCTTTCCCCCTGAGTCCTAGGAAGGATCATTTCATTGTCTCCAAAATTAAAACACTGAGGATGGATTGCTCAGTAGAAAGTGCTTGCCTGGTGGGCATGAGGAGGTGGGACAGCCTTCACCTTCCTCTTTCTTCTTCCTTCTAAGACCATGCCTGACCCCAGGATGTAAACTGGGCTTCTGTGAGATGCCACCAGTGGATGTTGGGCTCGGCTTCAGAACTGAATCCCACGGACCTGGTGGCAGAGGGGACAGTGGGCTATCCGCTTATGCTCTGTGATGGAGGACAGGAGTCCCCGGCCTTGAGAGGCACATAGGATTGAGCCCAGAAACCGCGAGGGAGACCTTTCCAGTGGACAGCAGTGACATCAGAATACGGAGCCCACCCGCAAGCAGCTCCTATCCAACACAGAGAGGAAGCACTTGTGGGGAGGTCCTTCCCCAGCTGGAGCCCCAGAGCACGTGACTTATTCCCAAGTTCTTCGATAAAGGGCATTTGAGCCACTCTGAAAGCACCTACAAAATCCACTGGAGACCATTTCCCTACAGAACTTTCAGGAGGGGAGAAAGTCTGACCTTATTTATTTTGGCCTATTTGGGCCTCCTAGAGGCTGTGTGGGCTTTTGTCTACAGAAAACCTGCTGTTGGTGATAATGACTGGGCTCAGAGGTTTGGAGTCCATGGCTTTGCAAAGTCAAAGGGACAGACCTCAAAGCGAAACATGGCCTATGCGCCACCCACGGGTGCTTCTTGCTCATAATCGAGGGCCCACGAATCTGACTATCCTGTGTATATAGAAGCTTCCTTCAAACCTCTAGCTCTTCCAGACTGCCCACAAAGCTGGGGGAACACAGCTCCCCTCCCCCGGCCTCAGCAGCCCAGGAAGACCTATGAAGACCCCTGCCATGCTTGAAACCACCAGACCCACCACGTGCCCGCAGCCTTCAGGGTCTTTATGGTGTTGGCTAGAATAGAACAAGTGACTCTGGTTCTAGATGGTTCTGTAAAGTTGGCTGCTGGGCCACCTAGGTGTGCACAAGCTCCAGGGACATGCAGTCAGGACATGGACGCCCCAGTGGGACACGACATCTGACCCGATTTGTGAGCAAGCACCTTTCCCCTTTCCTGCCCAGAGGCTTCAAAGTCCTGGACGGTAAGGGCCTGTGAGATATCTCAGGCCTGGATGGAGCAGAAGTGAGAACCCTGGGGTCAGGCTCAAGGGGATCAATATTATGCGGATCTGTCTGCTTTGCTGCCCACAGACTCTCCTTCACATGGACTTCTTTATGGAATGAGCATTGAGACCCACGTCTTCCTGCAAGCATTACGTATCTGTAAAATAGCAATTGTTATGGGTCCTGAGTTGGCAGCTACCGCAAGGAAGGACAAGGAGGTCCTGGGGTGCAGAGCCCCAAGGAGAGTAGTTTGGGAATGAGTGCCTCCCCAAGTCCCAGGACACAGCCATGCCCAGGGGTCTGGGTGGGGTGGCATGTGGCTGCCCAGCAGGGACATTTGCTCACCTACTTCCACTTTTCTGTCAGAAGGGAGTTTCGGATCAGAAAGTGATGAGCCCTACAGTCTAGATGCCTCGGGCACCACAAACACCATTCCCACTGCTTCTGTAGACAGTGGGGACCCTCACCAACTGTACCTAGACCTTTGGCTGCTCACTCTATGGTCACCATTGCTGGGTGATTCCAGCAGGCCTCACCTTCCCATGGACCCCTGGGAGAACCCCCTTCCCCACCCCAGCGCATCAGCATTTGGGAGACCTGCCCTGTAACCTCTGCCTCCTTCAGCCCAGAAGCCTGCTGGCGCCCTTTATCTGGGTTGTAGATGGGGCTGGATTTCAATGTTCTCCTAGTAATTTCCAGAACTCTGACAAGGGAATAAATGCAAGATGTGCCTTGAGCCTTGTGTCTGGTGGCTTGTGTCAGTGTGGTGAGTCTGGCTCCATCAGCCCGGCTGTCACATGTGCTGTCACAACATCAGGTGGCTCTATCCCTTAGGGGACACGGGCAGTCACTCTTGGGGCTTGTTAAAACCCTGACGCAAAAGCCAGAGGCACCTTTCAGCATCCCATAAAACCCAGAAAGGGTCCCAAGGGGAAAAGACCTGACCTCAGCGGTCACCTTCTGATAGGTGGACAGGGCGGGTGGCCCCTAGCTTGATTAGCTCATCTCATCACTGTGTCCTGGAGATGGAGTCTGTCTATCGGTCTGTTCAATCCAGATATTCCCAATAGAGAGTATGCTGGGATGTGGCAGCTGTGGCTCTGGTATGGAGAAGGTGGCTCCTCTCTGCTGCTGCCTGGTCGACCCTGTGATGGGTCTGAGGATGCTTCCACTTGCGCTCTTACAGGGTGTCCATCCCGGGTCCAGCACCAGCTTGATCACTATATCTCCCTCCAGCTAACGGGGAGGCAGCTGCTGGGGCAATCTGGGAATGATTTCATCCATTGAAGCCCTTTGTCCCACCCACAGCTCAGAGGATGCCAGGAGCCCAAGGAGGTGTAGACTTTGTGGAGGCTCTAGCTAAAGCTTCCTTGCCCATCCTGAGGTTTCTGAAGTTAGAAATCCCCAAACTCCCGACCCAGGATTAATCATTGGTAGGGAATCCCTCCTATCCCAAAGCAGAGAAGCCTTAATGCTGATCTCTTTCTAGGCAGTTCCCTCCCCAGTATCCCTGACATTACATAAGACATTCCCACGATGTCCTCCTAGGGACTAGTGGGTTCTTGGCTTAATAAGCACAGTCCAAGCCCAGAACGGAGCAGGCTCCCGACTTCACCGCCTCCTCTCTGCCTTTCCAGTAGGTCTTTAGTCACATGTGCTAACCACATACTGCTTGTCCCCACCTCCCCTTGACTAATGGGAGCTAATCAGTCCCTCCTCCCCCTCCCCTGATCTCCCTTTCCAGGCCCCTGACCTTGGAGCTCTTCCCAGAGCCTCCTCCCATCCTCTGAGGGTGTTATTTCAGTGTGCTGTGTTGTTGGAGGGCCTATTCCTTCTAAGCTAGCCACTGTGGGTAGGACACAGGCTGTGGGAATCCTTTTCTCAAAGACCCGGGATGCTGTCCCCCCCAACATCCCCCCCCCCCCGCGCAATGCTCTGAGGCAGCCATTCAGTTGGGAAGCTGCAGGCTGGGATAAGGACACAAACCTTCACTTTTAGCAATGGGGTTGGATAATCACTTAAGCACACATATCCTGGTGTTATTCTATACCCAGCACCATTCCCAGCCTCTCTTTGTACTGCATAAGGATATAAAACCCAGAGCTTTGTTATCCAGCAGCCCTGTGCTTCATCTGCCCTGTGATGCCCCCTTAGCCAGTCCCTAACACCAGGAACACACACTGGGTCAGACTCGTTCAGGGTGTATTCAGCAGCCCCAACTACAGATAAACACTGAAGACATGGTCAGGTCCCCACAGCCCCAATAAAGGTGTGGCATCTGTCCTCAGGGAGGATGGATATGGCCACCAAGATTCTGGGGGAAGCCATAGAGAGTGCAGACTGTGGGAGCTGTTGGTGACACCAAGGTGTGACACAGAAGACGCATGCAGTGGGGCAAGGAGGAGGGACAGGTTATGATCTCCCGGGACCCAGAGGGAAAATTTGCTAAGACTTCAGACACAAACATGGAGACAATCTACTACGCTGCTCTATAACTCAAAGGGGAAGTTAGTTTAAAAAGATCACTTTGTAACCATGCTGCTGATCCTGAGGGTTGCTGGGCGCAACAAAGGATTGAACTAAATGATTAGGAAATACAGCAGATAAGCAGAGAGTAACAAAGTAACAGCTTTATCCCTTTGGAAATGAACTCTTCTTTCTGGTGTTTGGGTATTTTATCTCACCCCTAGGTCCTTCCCTTTCCGCTGTTGGTTCTGTTTGGATACCTACCCTGTACCTTCCTGCTGTTTTTCCTCCTAATGTCTTCTGGGTAAAAAGCAGCCACCACCTCAGGGAGCCCTCTTTTGCTTTCCCTGTCTATCTATATCCCTCTAACCTGCCTTCAGCCAATCCCTCAAGAAATAGACACCAACAACTGTGGGGGAATGGGGCAATGACCGTTCTAGCTGCTTCATGCTGACAGGATAGAGTTTAGCGCAATATCTGTCCAAGAAAGAGGGGACTCTTATGAGGCAGGCTCCTGGGGCCAGTCCAAGGGACTGCGGTCCCAGATCTTGAAGGGCATCCTGAGATCCTGCACTGGGACCATTCAAAGTTTAGGCTGTGGGTGGTGGTGGCACATATCATTAATCCCAGCACTCAGGAGGCAGGTGAATCTCTGTTAGTTGGAGGTCAGCCAACCTGGTCTACAGAGCGAGTTCCAGGACAGCTAGGACTGTTACACAGAGAAACCCTTTCTAGAAAAACAAAAACCAAGCAAGCAAGCAAACAAACAAAACATAAAATTAAAACAGAGTTTAGGCTGTGCCTTTTCCCTCCAGCATCATCCCTAAGTATGCGATTCAAGATTGGCATGGAGTGACTAGAATCACACTGTGAGGTTCCTCCCAGATGGCTTCTTAAAGAACTAGCTCATGTGTTTGTAACTTACTGGCGTTTTCTGTCTTGTTCATTCTTGAAAAACACCCAGACACCGTGGGAGGCATCAGCAATCAACAAGCCTAGCTGTGATGATCTGCACGTGGGCACAGCTGGCGTCATGACAGTTGTTTGCCTGGAACGGTGCTGTGTGACGTCACCTTACTATAAAGAATGTTGAATCCAGCCAGGTGATGGTGGCACACGTCTTTAGTCCCAGAACTCAGGGAGCAGAGGCAGGTGGATCTCTGTGAGTTTGAGACCAGCCTGGTCTACAAGAGCTTGCTCTGGGACAGGCTCCAAAGCTACAGAGAAACCCAGTCTTGAAAAAAACAAACAAACAAAAAAAAAGAATGTTGAATCCAAACTATACACGTAATAAATTAATACTACTTGTATACATACTGTTCATTGACAGGGTGCAGTAAGTTCCCACATAAACCGTCTAGAAAACACAGAACATAGAGTAAGCCATCATAACCATGCTTTTGGTTCTAAATGGATGTAGAACACTCTGGTGCTGGGATCTTTTCCCCATTGCCCGCTTTTCTTTAGATCATGAGATAAGTAACAGCCACAATGCCCTCACTCCTTGGCCATTTTCTCGTTCTCCTTCTCACCGTTGCAGAATCAGGGGCCAGTCTAACTCGGGAAGAAGGTTTTGGAGGCCATTTGAAGACAAACATGCTTGGGTCTGAATTGGGATGGCCAAATCCCATCTCCAGAAACAGCCAGTCAGTGAGCTTAAACAGCACAGTTTTCACAAAAGGCATTTGTTCATCTGTAAACCCGAACCCACTGGACAGGAACTTTGTCGCTTAGACCAGTGACTACTGGCTGGACCCAAGGCACCAGGCAGGTCTCCTTATAAACAGTATATATTTGTCCAGGGGAGCCTTATCACCAATTGGATCATGCCTTGGGAACAGAGATTGACAAGTTTTTGTTGTTTGTGTGTTTGTTTGTGTGTGAGAGGTTCAAGACAGGGTTTCTTTGTGTAATAGCCCTGGCTGTCCTGGAACTCTCTTTGTAGACCAGGCTGGCCTCAAACTCACAGAGATTCCCCCTGGCTCTGCCTCCTGAGTGCTGAAATTAAAGGTGTGTGCTACCATGCCCAGAGACAAGTTTTTCTTTAGACTTTTTAAGTTCATGGATAAGTGGCAGCGTGCGCCCATGATAGAGGAAGGTGGAGCTGACCCTCTCTAGCTAGACTTGGGGTGACCTGTAGCCACAATCAAGTTTGTGTTTGCCTGCAAATGGAGGTAGACAGCCTGAACACTTAACATCCTCTGTGTTTCTTTGGATTTCTCTAACAAGAAGGCTCCATGAATGTAGTAGGGAGTCAGAATTCTCCCACCATCGCCCCCAAAGAAAATATCCCAGAGGATACTGGAGCCAAGCTTCCTGGCAAAAGAAAATCAGGGTTGTAACTGGAGGTTTCTCTCCCACCTGTCAGTTTCCAAAAAACCACTCTGAGGTTTAATATTAATTACAAACTGCTCAACCAATAGCTCAGGATTTTTACTGGTTGACTCTACCTATAAATTAACCCATCTCTAATAATCCGTGTATCGCCATGTGCCCCATGGTTTACCGGTATGCTCTGGCACATACTCCCTGCTGGTGTCTCTTGGACTCCACCCTTTTTCTCCCTGCATCTCTGGATTTCCTGCCTGGCTCTAATCTGCCTGGCTATTGGCCAAATCAGATTCTTAGCATACAGAAGGGCATCCCACATCACAGGGTTTTGTTTTTGCTTTGTTTTATTTTGTGTGCATTAGTGTTATTACCATTGGTTTTGGGTCCCCAGGAATTGGAGTTAAAGACAGTCGTGAGCTGCCATATGGGTGTTGGGAGTTGAACCCAGGTCTTCTGGAAGAGCAGTCAGTGCTTTTGACCACTGAGCCATCTCTCCAGCCCAAAAATCAGCGTGTTTTTTTTTTTATTTAAATGTCTAAAAGTAAAATTCTGCCCAGGGTTTGAGAAAGCTACCGAGTAGTCACTTCAGAGGGATCTTGGAACCAGTTTGTCCCATCTGCAGTTAGTTTTGGGTCAGGGTTACCTTTCTCTACCCACAATTCCCTACTCCATCTGGGTCATCTAGTGAAGTCTGCAGAGGGAAGAGGCCAGGTTAAGCTGTGGGGTTTTTGCACTTGTCCATGGCTCAGTGCCCTGCCATCGCTGTTTCTTTGGTCTCTCTTCAGGCAATGTTGCCCTTTTATTCCTTCCTACAGACACTTGTTTTCGTATAAGTTGTCCTATTTACCAATAAAGACCTGGGAGTCAGATATTGGGGTGTAAACCTGCTAGATCAGAGAAGCCAAGAAACAACAAGTTGACCTTCCTTTTTTGGCCAGA